GCCTTTGTTGGTGTCTCTGCAACGGGTTGGTGGAACACAGGAAGGTTATCTCTTGGCTCACCACATCCTGCAGGTCTGTGGGCAGTATTTTTTCAAAAATTGCTCCTGTGCTGCAATCAGCATCTTTGTGACCTTGTAGAATGAGAGAAGGCATACATACTTGTTAATCTTCAACAGGCTTTCATTTTTGCAGTAAGAACAGCAGTCTTGCTGGGACCAAATTACTGTCTCAGGGCACCATGAAAACTCTAGGGGATTCACTTGTTAAATCAAGACTTCAATGAATATACATGGAGGTTGCTTTTTTTGCAGGTATGAGACTAGCACATCCATTCAGACCAGTGAGAGACCTTTGTTTTAGGAAAATTCTTATTCTCCACAGGGTTATTGTTATAGTTATGCAGTAATTTTTACTCTCACAAAGCTATATTTAGTTTTATGCTTTTTAAATTTTTGTCTTCTACTATAAGCCTGCTAATAGAAACTTCAGACCTGTACAGCCACCTCTATTTTTGTGCATTTGGGAATAATTGGAATTTTTCCATGTTTCTTTGTTGGATTTTAAAAGTGACACCATCTTTCCTTTGAATCAGTGCTGAAAAAGCATGTTATAATTAAGGTGGAACTGCAGACTTGAGTAATGACTTAATACCCACCTTCATCTCTTGTTATATTACCAGAAGAATAATGTAATTGAACTATAACATCATTTTGGAAATTTATCAGTGGGACTAAAGGGAGACCAGGCACATTTTGGCTAGTGTGTGGCTTTCAGAGATACTTCACACGTTGCAGAGCATTATTAACAGGTTATAGCATCTATGGAATTTATTTTAAAGGAAAGCTAACTCTATAATTATTTGGCTGTGATGAAGTTGTTGCTGGTGTCAACTGTCTAGCACTACTCTCAACATTACATTGCAGCAGAATGCAGATGGCTTTACAGTCTTCTGTTGTCCTACAGCTAAAAGTACTAGCGCCAGTATTGCGTGATATCGCTGTTAACACAAAAAAAAATCACTGCCTGACACAGTAAAAATAATAATAATTGGGAAAAAAAAAAAAAAGTGCACAGCCAAGCATATTAGAGGCTTTATTGTCAAAAGCTATCCACAGGACACAAGATTAGAAGTACTTACTGCCATGTCCTCATCACAAAGGTTGTGCTTTAGCAGTTTCCTATTCAGCAAAAACCTAGCAATGGCATCCCCTGCCATAGCTGTAAGGTGACCATGCAGCTTAGCCTTTCGCTCTGGTCATTCATATGTGGCTAAAGATTCGTTTGCGTGATGGATTTTTCCGTATCTTTTCTTGCTGTAGTTATTACAATTTTAGAATTGCTGAATGTTTTGACCTCAGTTACAGCTTAAGCTTATCCTTTTTCTTTGCATTCTATTCTGATATTATTTTCCTTCTCTTCTAGCATACTACTAGGTTTGCGGATACAATTTTAAGTACCAAAAGATTCAGAGATGGGACTGTGACTGTGACAATTAAGGGTTCTTAAGATTTCCTGCTGCTATGCTATAAATTAGTGAAGAAGTTTCTATGAAAATATTAATCTTGACATGAAGTGGAGGTAAAACTAAAAAACCCATGTACAGTCTTCTTTAATTACCTATAAAGATGATGAATAATTCCATAACATCTTAATTTTGGTTTTAAGTATGCTTGAGTGTGTGATGGACAAAGAAGTGCTAAAAGCAAAATCGGAACAGGTAGAAATGCTTCCTTATGGACCTCAAATCTTTTTGACCTGACACTTATGACATGCAGTGATATGCAATTTCCAGAAAGACCACCTGCGTTTAGGGCAGCTGTTGGGACAGCAAGGAATGCAGGCATGTATTTTGTTGTGCTCCAACTTTATGAAATGTCCATCTCCCATTCTTATTCATATAGAGAATTTTCAGCAGAGAAGCAGAACTGTTAAAAGAAACAGAGCCAAGGACTCTACAAAGCTGGGAGCTGGGCCATGTGTGATTGCAGATACAAGATCAAGACATTAGACATAGAGTAGAAATGGAGTTCCATGTCTTCATAAAGCTGCAAATGGTAATAAAAATTGTGCTTTTGGAGATGTTCAGGAAGGATATTCTAAAGCATGTCGTTGAATAATCTTCCTCTGATCACTTTTATGCATTGAGTAGAAGTCCCCACTATTGGTCTTGTGCATATTTTTTCTCATTCATTTTGTCCTGAGATGTTGCAACTGTAGTAATTCGTAAGACATCAACATTCATAGATGACCTTTGCTTAGGCAGTATCATCTAGACCCATACTTCAGTATTACTATGACTTCAGAATTTTTTTTTCTCATAATTCTTACTACTTCTGTGCCATCAGCAATTTTTCTGTTTTACCCATTTTCCCTCTTCACCAATAAACACAGCAAAGCACATTAGTGTTATTAAAATTCTATTGAGTATATTAACTTGATGATCTTTTACCCTAAAAGCCACTATTTTTCAGTTTTTAATTCATAACGGAACTTCCCTTTTATTTTGCTTAATTACTGAACCTTATTGCACTGAATGTGAAAAATCTGTAAAAACATTTTTGAAACTCTGAATCTGAACCTAGCTTCCACCTTCTGTTTCTGTTTTAGTAATTTCTTGCAGTTGTCTAGAGGAGGAGGACAAATCTCATGCTCAGAAATTTCTAGTGAAAATTTTCATGTAGGCATTTCTATGCTGTCTACAGCAAATGGTTGTCATCCTACTAATCTTTAGTGTAGAGTTGTACGTTCATATATACGTATATATATCCTACATAAAGTATTAAGAATTGAGCATTTTAGTAGATTTTTATGCACATGTTGGATTCATACTCTATAAACAAAACACAGAGGAGACTAACTGCAACAAATTTATTATCTCGGCATCTATGCACGGGGGGAAAACCCTGCAGTTTTCTGATACATTGCAATGTTTTTCACTGTCACCTCTTGTTTTTCTGAATACATCAATGCACTATTGTGAAACTCATTAGAAAGCTGGACTGTTTTTCAAAGCTAGCTGCTCTTGCTTGACTGGGGCAGAGGCATGCAGCAGTGAGTTGTTTCTTCTGTGATTCCTTTTATGTTCTCTGGATCTGCAGGATCCCAAGTAAGAGCAAACTGTGCTTAGCCATGCTTATATGGGTAATGATATATATTTTTTTCCCATCCAAGGGAGCTTCTTGCATTTTTATCCCTTAAACAAGATTTTTCTGCCAAATTTTGTCCATCACTATGTCATAATAATACATAGTGTTACTTTTGTGTAGCTAGAGAGCAGCTTGCTGTAGATTTGATCTAACATAATAATGTCTTGACATACAGTAGAGTACACACAATTACTTCAACTGATAGTTAACATCCATGGGAAAAGCTTTTCCTAGTGAGATGGAGCTTAAAAATAACCAGTGACCTCTGACTCTCCATCTGGCTGCACTTGGTTTAAAGCTGGGCTCTGTAATGCTAGATAAGCAGAGGAACGACACCACCTTTTGTTGTGAGAGCCTTTTATGGCCCAAAAGGATTATATGGATGTTTCTGAAAAGCAGAGGAGCTCAGGAACAGGTCTCAAAGACAAACACTGGAGAGGGAAATGCAGTTTTTTCAAGTCCCTCTTTTCCCTGTAATAGGTGTGCCCTCCAAACCCTCTTTTCCATTTTTGTCAGTGTTGTTTCCTCAGTTATCAATATTTTCCCTGGCCAAAGATATGTCCATGCCAGTATATTTGGCAGACTACTGGCTTTACTTTAACACTAGGTGTTGTTACGTTGATGGGTGGTCCTGTTTCTTGCTTTTGTTATGCTGACCCTGGAGCGTTGTAAAGGGACCTTGTAGCAGATATGCTCTGCTGTAAGTTTACCTCACCTAGCTGAGTCCTTTTACCCTCCTTCAATGCTATGGGGTAGTTCATCTGGTAAAAATCTAATTCTGCTGCTTCCTCTTCTGAAGGAGCTTGCAATTTATCCTTCTTGTTGATGCACATACACACACGTCCTAAATAGGTTGGTAGGTAATCATTATCTTGAAGTGGTAGGCAGTAATTGCTGTATTAAAATTCTATGTAGCTTATTTGCTGTGCAGGACTGCAGCAGAATTGTACGTACCTCACCAGCAAGTTGATTAGATATGCTTTAGGCATCATCTTTTCCAATTTTTAAAAAATTAATCACGCATAGTTTTCATATTAACTTAGAACAGGGCAAGGGTTGGAAACGCGACAGTTCTTGCAGCTCGCTCTGTGTGTTCTGTGTCTTTTTATGAGCCTAGTCTAACCTCTGTCTGCCTCTGACCCATACCTGAAGGAAGAAAAGGAGTAGTATTGTAATGAATCCACCTTCTCTAGGCAGGTTTTCTATTCCTCAAAGTCAGAGTTGCTGAGCATTCATGCTGACCTTGCTAGCACTAGAATGGCTATGGTAACATACGTTAGTATATGCCACAATGTTAACATGGTGAAGGTGGAGATGCTGTCTAGCAGAGGCACGGAGTATTTGTATAATACAAAAAAAAGACAAATGACATAACCTAAGCGTGCAAAAGTACTCAGCTGTCAGTGAATCTCTTTCTACACCAGGGATTTTGCTATCTTTATTTGGCTTGACAAAGTGATTTAGTCTCCCCTCCACTGCCAGTGAGTGTAGCTGTAATGGCAAATCTTATTGTACAGTGTCCTCTCAAAAGAAGAGGAATTCCTCTCAAAAGTATAGGAATTGCAGCAGTCTAAATAGCCACTTTTGCACATCTAACAATGTTTGAAGAAAGAGACAGAGGCTTGCACGGGCTTTTAGCTGTCACCCGTCTTTACGTAGCTGATTGTAACAAATTTAGTGAAGCAGTGATGATCTTGCTCAGCTTCCCATGTTATGATGAAGTCTTTGGTTCTAGTCCATTGGTAGAGCTGGACAAGGAACCACGTTGTACCATGTGGCTTTATTTTCCATGGCATTGGGTCCAGCTGGGTTTTGAGAACTGACTGAGTATTGTTGATGTGTTTATTCTACAGATGGGAGAGATGCCTGCCACATCAATGAACCTGTGCGGGTGGACAGGGGCACCAGAGTAGCCACAGCAGCATAAATACCCAGGGTGAGAAGATGCCTGCGTGTGCCCATGTACAGAGTGGTCTGAGGAATTTCTGTTGTGTAGGTTGGTTTACATTTGTAAATTAATGACCTAGTTCCTGCCTTGAAGGGTTTGCAGCCTAAATCCTACTGAAATATATGGGAATACTTAGCAGATTATGGTATAGGAGTCACTGGGTAGGCAGTGGGACTTGTGATGTTAGCTGTGAATACAAGAAAGGGGAAGTGGTAGGTGGTGAAAACAGAAGTCCCAGTATCCTCCCATGGTCCACAGTCATTTCGAGGCTATCAGTTGTTTTTCTCATTTTAAAAACAGAGTGAAAAATTCCCTCTTATTTGTTGCTCGCATGGGGGAAGTTTTGAGAAAATTCCCAAAATTTTATATTAGAAAACCTTACATGTACTCTGAAATAAGCCAATTTTGCTGTTTGTAACTCACTAATCTGTAATGATTTGCACAGCAAACAGTGATGCCACAAGCACAAGATTATGATGAAAGTTATGAAAAAAGCAATAGAAGCAAATTATGTATTAGTAATGGGTATACTGAGCCCAACAGACAGAGGAGAGTGGCCTGCTTTCTATCTAAAACACAACAAATTGCTTGATAGCCATGTAAAAATAAAATGATCAGTACCATTAGCGTCTCTGCAGTTACATGCTGAGATTAGTCAGTGATTATTTCATTGGAGGAGATTCTGGAATAAGAGTAGTTAAATCACACAGACACAGCCATGCTTTTCTTTCTGCATCGCTGTGCAGAAAGTGAATGTAACGATTGTCTCCCTTTTTCTTTCATGCAGCTTTTGTGGTATGATAAATAAATATACTGCGTTCCTAATTACTACTGCCAGCTGGTAGAGTTACTTTTGCAGTGGAGGTGATTTATATTATAAAGTTCAATATTTTCTAGATGCTTCATGAGAGAGGTCGTGCAGCCAACGCAGATTTCTTTCAACAACTAGATGCAAGAAGGTGCTTATGGGCCTTCATTCCCGTCTCCTTCCAAGAGAACATGAAGTTCATTTTTTTCTTCAGTTTGGTTTCTCTCTTTTCCACGTGTAACTTACATACTGGGAGTAACAGTAGAATTACCAATTTCCGTGCACAAATGTTATTTGCTTCAAAATGAGGATTTGCCAAACCTATTTTTTTTTTTTTTTTTTTTTTTTTAAATTTGTTATTGGATCTCTACTGAAAATGTTCATGGCCGGTTTATGTCCGGAAAACTTTACCTGAATAAGCAGGAGTTTAAGATCTCTGTGAGAACTGAATAGCATTTGAATAGTTAATATCTTAAACACAGCAAACAGTTTTCTCTTCAAGGGTAATGAAAGGTCTGAAACATAGATGAACTCTCTGGTGTAAGGTAATTGAATGAAGAATATACAAATTATAAGAAATTAAACAACTCCAGCGGAAAAAATCCTGCTTATTTTATTCTGACATCCAAATTACCCCATTTGTAGAGCCATGTGTGAGAGCAGAGTTGGCCCAAATCAAGTTCACTTGCAAAAGGGTATGAGAGAAAGATACTGCACTAAAGCATTGATCTGTTGGTTTATAGGTATAGTGAGATCAGTCTCTCACTGGACTAACGTACCACTTCTTCCTATCTACAGCTCAGATTGGCTCCGCCAACTTTGTACTTTGAGAGAATTTTACTTTAAAAAGTGAAATACTACTTGTTTGAAGTTTTTCTGGGGGAATTAGTTTGAAATATTTAAGCACTACAAAGGTTTCTGACCTAAATGAACAGTGTAAGAGACCCAAGGGTCTCTTTTACCTTTGGCTTTTTTTCCACCTGGAGAAAACTTAATGTAATAGCTACAATGTGCTGTAATCTGTCTCTCAGAGGTCCCATTCAGAAATTTATCTTCCTCATCTTTGGCATTTAAATCTGACCACTACTTCCTGAGGAATTTAAAAGGGAAATGTTGAGATGTTCATAGTTTAAGTGCGTACAGATGTCAAATTGCTTTGTGAATGATATTCAACAATGTTAATGGAAAAAAAATAATCCTGTGATAGAAATTAGTGAAGATCAAGATTTGTTGAGTTTTTTTCTATATGTTTCCTTAAACTTGTTTAAAAACACACCTTAGAAATCTTCCCTGTAAAGTGAAAGCAAGAAATTTAAAGAGCATGGCATGGGTTTTTTTGTGTGGGTGTGGGTGTGTTTTTTTTGTTTTGTTTTGTTTTGTTTTCTGTTTTTTGTTTTTTAATATGAGTGGTCTAAACCAAAAGAAATAATTTCAAAAAAAAAAAAAAAAAGTCTCTTTTTTCTTCAGAGTGGAAGTATGTCTGAAAAGGGCTTATGCAAATTCATTGTGGAGATGTCTTCTGGCAATTAAAATAGTGATAATTCAGATATAACTTTTGTGTTGAGAAATCTTGAAACTGCAGCTGTAGTCGATTCTTTGTGGCCTTTCTTGGGGAACCCAGTTTGCCAGGCCTCGAAGAACTGTTGTGGTGGTGGCATTGAGCTGGTATACTGCAGTAATGAGGTAACCAGAGATGACTTCTTCGTTGTGAAAAATAATGTTTCTAGAAAAGAAAACTGGATAATACTGGCTCAGTATTACTCACAGACCTCTGGCCTCACTTTTTTTTCCACTAGAAAAAAACCCCTTTGTATTTTTTCTTTCCCTTAACTTCGAGAGTGGACCAAGGGAACACGTCAGGTTATCATGGAAAGGCTTCAACATGAAGAAGTGTACAAATAATTGACTTAACTATTCAAACCTGGAAAAATGGTGAGATCTGTTAGTTACAATGTTTGTTTCTCCAATTTTCTTGCCATACTCAGCCTACCTACTGTGTGTGAATTGTAATTCTAGAAGTGGGCCAAACTGTGATGTCATTAATGTTTTGGAGATGTAGACAGGGTGAAAGCTGGCCAGCTGATGGGATGAGGCTGCACAGCGTTCAAAAGCAGTGGTGCTGCGTTCTGCCTTGGTGGAGGTGTCACTCTGAAGAGTGCCTTTTAATGTAATTCACCCAAGGCATTTCTATTTTATTTCTGTCTGCAATGGCTTTGGATGCTAACCCAAAGGTGTTTTTCTAACTGAACAGGTTTTGTTGATATACACACTGGGGACAGGAGAGAATGCAGAGATAAGCATGCAACAACTGAATTGTGTAAATGAACAGTTGTAACCCTGAGTTGTTCCAGTGGTTCTGTGATTTAATGCTCTCTGCTTGGAGTGAGATTTACTACCCAGTCTGTAGCACAGAATTTTGTTGTGCTAGATGCATCTGTTAAATGATTTCCAGCTTCCTTTATATTTTATCCCAAAAGGGGGAAAATATATAGAATAGGAGGGGGAAAAAAAAAAAAGAAAAAGAAAAAAAAAAGCTGTTATTGCAGGACAGAAAGAAAGGAGGATTAAAAAAATAGAAGGAAAGAAACTGGCATTTACTAGTTGGCTGTTCATGTTAATCCTCTTTAACACACACGTGACTTCAGCTTGGAAAACCTCTCGCATTTTTCAATCTGTTGTGGAGAAGTGAGCTTAGTGGCAGTCATAAGAACCTTTAAAAATCTCTAAGCAGTTTCTAGCCCCTCTCAGTGTCACTCTGATTCTGTAGGCTGGCAGACTGGCACTGCTCAGAGACCTAGGACCAAATGATAAATGCTAACCCTGTTTCTAGATATTTCATATAGTCTGTTGTATGACAATTAGTCGTTCAAAATGGCATGTCAGAAATTGATGTGTGGATTTTAATGCTGTTTTTGAAAAGAGACTTAAACAGAATCTTTAGTTTCAAAGTGCAATTTAATCATTTGTAGCATGTGCCATGCAAAACATACCTTGGAATTCCCTGATTTCAGTTGTTGAGATATTTCAGAGTAACTGCAAGTCATGAAAGGACAAAGCAGAGCATAATTATGAAGGCTTTCCCTCTTGAATTACAGACAGAATAATTTTTTTTTTCAAAGTTGTAGTACAATAGATTATTTTGTCTCTTGCATTGTCAAAGTTGGAGTAGGTTTATACATTGTCATTTGCAGTCCTTATCCAGATTAATTTTAGGTGTCTCGAGGAGCTGCATTATACCACCATATATGTCCAGAGCTACAGATACAGGGTTATTTCAGTTGTTTTTTCTTTCCTGGGAGGTATCTTAAATGGATTATCAGGAAATATGGTCTGACTGAGTTCACTTTCACAAATAATTATGGCCTGACAGTGTGGAGAAAACTGTATGACAATGGTTTTAGACCTTAAAATAAAACTTATACCTTTGACAATTCAGAAGAAAGACCAAAAAGCTAGAAAAGAAAGAAAATGGCCAGGCTTAGTTTTTTTTTCCCCACCCTTAATTATTCTGTATTATCTACAGCTGACTGCCTGAAATGCTACTGTATGCTGAGCTCGAGTGGAGTTTATTTTTATTTCTTTGGTGATATCATACTGCCTTTATTTTGCCTAATTTTTTAACACAGTGATACAGATGAACTTTACTGATGAGTCCTTTCATATTGTAAGAAATGTGATACATAACTGTCTGGAAACACCAAACAAGTCCTTTAGCCCTCATAGATCTCACTGATTATGAGAGCCTGGATTTTGCTGTGTATAAATGCTTCAGTTAGACTGGTTACTGATAACCACTGTAAACCTACAGAAACTGAATGAAGGGTGAAACATGGAGAATATATCTGAAAAGATCTATTTTGCATGATGATTGTAGGATGAAATCCATTAATACATATGAGGATGTATTTTGTCATACCAAGGTATTATCCTTAAATCAAATTTTGGTTAATTAATGCTGGCAGACTCTTCCTACTGGATTTCTAGATCCTAGCTAGTATTAATGAGGGCCATGGCAATTTTAACACTGCGTTTTACAAATATGTGTGTCAATTATGGTTTCATGCACAGTTTCTTTGTTAACTCAGAAGGTCATCTGTAAAATTCACATGTGCATGTAAATTTAAAAGAAATATATTTTTTCCTTGTAAAATGATGCAGTGATTAAAAAGCATCCTGGAAA